TATTCTGATTAGGATTTGTTTTCTCTATTTAAAGGGCTTGTAACCCTAATGGGGGGAGATTATTGAATCTGAGATTTTTGAGACTTTTCTCTTTGGTTCATTTCAGAACTTTACAGAACTTATCAAGATTATTCGTGTGGCGTTCTAACCTGACTTATCATTCTCGTTCTTAATCGTTCGAGGGTGTGGTGTCAAACAACTTTATACCTCTGGTTCTTGTTGCGTCATAGACAACGGGTCAAGGTTTTTACCTTTGGTTCTTGTTGTGACATAAACAACGGGTCAAGGTCTTTTTATAAACCTGATTTAGCTTTCCTGAGTTTAAAAATCCCTTGTCGTGCTGTGGGTCTCATTGTTCTCTTTGGGGTTCCCATCACATACTAAACATCATCAAAGACAGATTTGTTACCAATTTTATCAATTCCTTTCACATTGTCACCAAAGGTCACGGTCTCACCATCTAAGGGCATGAGTGATGAGAATTATGAAGGATCACCCATCATGTGCCTTGAGCATCCACTATCTAGATACCATTTGTTCTTCATTTTGCTCACAAGGCACACCTGCACAACAAAAATCAATTTTTGATCTTAGGTACCTAAATTTGCTTGGGTCCTTGGGGGTTAGTTCTTATAGTTCCTTTTGGATCCCAAATTTGCTTCACTTTACCTTGAGCTATTTCTTTAAAGGACATGCATAGGTAAAGTGTACTTTTGCAACACAACAATAGCAAGTAACTTTAGGATAAGAGGATTGACTTGCTTTTACAAAGAAGTTCTTAAAGGTTCTTTTCTCTTTAGAGTAATCAAATCCAATGCCCTTTGAGAATTCAAAATAGAATGAAACTTTTCTTTACTCAAAGTGAATTTAGAAATCACATTTTCAAGATCACAAACTTTCCTTTTTAAATCCTCATTTTCCTTTTTCAACGAATTATTAGATTCCTCATTCTTTAAAGATGTAATCTCAACATTCAAGGAGGCATTTTCTTTAACTAAAATCTCACTTTGTTTTGGAAGAGATTCAATCTCATTTTTAAATGATGAAATGGTTTTAGTAAGAGTAAGATTCTCATTGTCTAGTTTCTTGATATCATTCATAGAACAATCAAGAACTTTACATAAATCATCATAAGAATACTCAAAGGAACTTTTATTAATTGAACTAGAGAAGTTAAAGTTTACCTCCTCATCATTGTTGCTATCCTCTTGAGACATGAAGTAACGATTTACAACACCATTCTCCAAGAAGCTTTCACTTCCCATTGAGCTAGTCTCATCATTACTCCAAGTGGCTGCAAAGCTTTCTTCTTCATGCTCTTCTTGTCTTTCCTTTCACTGATGGGAATCAAGACGATATAGCACATGTGCCATGTCAAAGGATCCATTACACATTCAAGGAGGTCTAGTCACGAGAACTAGAGCTAAGAAGATGCGAGAAGTTTTAAATGACCTTATTGAGCAAATCTGGGTTGAAAACAACATGCAACAAGTAAAATTGAAGATTGAATGATTATCATGGTATGGTAAACATCATTCAAGTCTAGGAGAGGCTTAATTAAGGTCATTCATGTTAAATTACACAGTTTGCATCAAAATTGCATAATTTTGCTGCAATTTGTAGCAAACTAATATTTCATGTTATGTTAGGTTACTTTGAGTGATTTTCACATTTTTTTAAATTATTTTTTGGGTTGAACATTCATTTATTTGAAGCCCAATTCGTGGTTATTAGGTTTAGGACTTAGGGTGTTAGTTTCCTACTCTGATTAGGATTAGTTTTCCCTATTTAAAGGGCTTGTAACCCTAATTGAGGTAGCTGTTGAATCTGAGTTTTTCGAGAGACTTTTCACTTTAGTTCGTTTCAGAATTTTATAGAACTTATCAAGATTATTCTTGTGGTGTTTTAACCTGACTTATCATTCTCATTCTTAACCATTTGAGGGTGTGGCATCAACCAACTTTATACCTCTGGTTCTTGTTGCATCATAGACAATAGGTCAAGCATTTTACCTTTGGTTCTTGTTGCAACATAGACAATGGGTCAAGGCCTTATTATAAACCTGATTTGGCTTTCTTGGAGTTTCAAAATCCCTTGTCGTGCTGTGGGTCTTATTGTTTTCTTTGGGGTTCTCATCATCTTGGTATCAGAGCATCAGGTTTCTGTATCTTTAATTTTCAATTTTTACACCGAAAAACAAAACAAAAAAAAATTTCAGTGTCATTCTTCTC